CGTTGTTCAATGAATCATCTACATCTTCTGTCTTCTGAGAACTTTCGGCATCATCCACCGAGCCCTGTATCTCATTAGCGTCGTTCGATACACCAGAAATCTGCGTTTTTTGAATCGCTTCGAATTCTTCCTTGATTTTTACGTTGTCGGCGTGTTCTCGGTTGCGAAATGCGGTTTGCTTAGTTTCAAGCCTCTTCTGTTTATCACGAGTTCGTAATACTCTCTTGTTTTCTTCGTTAAGAAGTTTTCGTTCATCAGGATTTTTACCGTCCAAGAACTTACTGCTTTGATCTGCTATTAGAGTAGCTTCATCATGTTCTATTTTTTGTTCTGATGTACTCTCGTCCGTGTTTGATATAACGCTAGATTTGTTAAATTCTTTACTACTATCATGGTCGAGATCCTCCTTAGTTTCAATGTTCAGTCGATCAGAGGTGCACTGTACAGACGAAGAATTTACAGAGCTACTATTTGAATCACAGTTTACAGGAGTTGGTACGTGTAATAAATTATTGTTAACTTTTGGACGTTTTGCGCTTTGCGTCGTCTTACAAGATGCATCGTTGTCTCGTAATAGCTCAGTTGTGTCAGACTTCCCGTCTAAACTTTTGCTTGGTGTTTCGTTTGTGTCATCGACAGCTGATCCTAATAGCAAAGAGGTCTCAGGTGCTTCTTGATTATTTTGAACCTCCGGCTCCTTATCCAATACCTTTGTATCAGACATCATCTCTTTATTTCGTATCGTGTCATTTGTAATATTTGGTAATGGTTTGGCAGAGTGGTCTTCCGCTACTAATCTTTCTACCTCACGAGATATACTTTCCAATGTTTCTGCTTCTTCTGAATTATCTATAACGTTCAGAGAGATTTCAATTTCTAATTCCTCTGTTTCTTTTGCTTGTACATGTTCTTCTGCAAGTCTCTTCTCTGTTTGCTCAGGGGACATCGACGCAGATACTGGTAAACTTACAATATCATCATCCAAAATTTGATCCTCTGAAATCGTTTCTTCGTTTGTAGATTTTTGTATATCCGTTACAACATCCTCCATATTATCCGATCTTGGAACTGTTTTATTTGGTGTCCTATTCGATTTTTTCGTTTCATTATTGCTGACACTATCAGTAAAATTTTTATCATTGATTCTCGGAGACTTCCTCGTAATCTTCTTATTTTCGTCTAATATCTTCGACTCGGTGCTACTGACATTGGCGCCACTGGTTGTACTGCAACTAACGTTTTCTTTTTCTGGTTCATCTACATTCTTATACGATTGTTCCGCAGCATTACTATTATTTATATTACATGTAGACTCGCAGTTACTATGTACGTCGTTGATTCCATCATTATCGGAGGACTTGTTTTCTTGAACATTCTGCGAATGTGTCTCTGCTTCCCCAATATCAAACTTGACTAGTTTCTCTTCAATCTCTTTGGCAGTGTCAGCCACTTTTGGTACTGAATTTTCTGAATTTTCTGACGTGATTTCATTTGTTGTAACCGTGGACTTATCCTCGTCAGTATTGTCTTCCAGTCCCATTTTCTGAGACTCCGTACTGAGTGGTGCAACAATTTCTTCAATCTTAGGCACGTCAAAGTTTTTACTTAATCCAAGACCTTTTTCCGGACCAAAGATCTTATTTTCGATGGATTTTGCAATATTTAATTTAATGTCTTCAATCATTTGATCTATTTGCGATTTTGACATCGAATTGCCGTCTGATTTATCAGTGCTATAAAAGGAATTGACTGTTTTCTTCATGTCTATGTTTAAACTACTTCTGCGACCTTTAGATTTGTCTGTGAATTTGGCTAAAATATTGTCCCTTTTCATTTGCTCGAAATTATTGAGTTTCTTTGAATCTTCTTGCGTTTCCGTACATCTGGGCACTATTCGCACGTCTTCGATTTTAATATCATCGTCTTTCGTCGCTTCGCATTCCGTAGTTTTAGCTTTAGTTTTAGAACGTAGTGTAGGTCCGGTCTCGCCTGTCCTGTCTGCGCGATCGCTGTTATTGTTGTTTTCTATTTCCGATCCTGTCTCAATATCCTCTTCGGAATTAAACGCTTCATCCTTAGAACAAATCTCCTCTTTGCTCGATGCTGCAATATTTTGTGATTCATTACAACCAGGATCCGAAAAGCAAGAGTCGATATTTATATTACAATCCGAGATATGTTCGATCGAATTATCTGAAATAACAGTTCCATCCGAATTTGTCCTGTGCCGCTTTTTAGGATCGTTATCTGCGGAATTTCCCAAATCTGACAATTGACGCTGCTTTCCATTTCGCAAACTTCTTTGAGACGGTTGCTCGATATATCCGATTTTCGATCTTTTTCTCAACTGAATGGCATTCTGAAGTCCTTGATCCGTTTCTATAGACTCTCCGTCCGATGTACCTTTGGTGTCATCGGTGTCGGGTTCTTTCTTTATCTCGATGTCGCAGGCGATATTTTCATCTACCAACATTTTCTTACTCCTTTTCGCCTTTCCTTCAGCCTTCTCTGTAACGCTTTGTTGACTTTCAACTTCGGAGTCGCTTAACATTGAAGCAATGACTTCGTCTATGGTAAGATCGATAGAATTCTTGTTATCTAAAATCGTCTTTGGAAATTTTTCAACACTAGTATTGCTTCTTGCACTAGTACCGCAATCTAATTCCTTGCCAGTGCTCTTCCGGTTTTTTCCACTCTTGTTATCAGTCTCCGTAACTTTTACAAGACTGGAACTGTTCTTCTTCAAGTTCGTTAACTTGACTGTTTTGGCACTCTTAGACAAAGAATCTGGACTTTCCGTTGTCTTTCCTTTCTTGCCAAGTTTCGGACTGACTTTAGCACTCGACGCAGCACCAGCTTCTTCCTTATTTTGAACGTCAGATTTGGTTTTTTTGGTCCTGAGATTACTCTTGGCACTTTTACTTGGTGTTTCAGTTCCTTTGCCTTCGTTGTCTCCGTTGTTTGTCTGATTTTCTGAAAATTTCTGAGCGATATCTGCTGCCTTGGCGATCGAATCTTCCGGCTGTCGAACTTTCTTCGCACCCTTGGCACCTCTCTTAATGTCAGGAGCTATCCTGTTGGTCACTTTCTTGGTAACCTTGGACTTGATAAGATTTGCCTTGGTTGCTCTTAGGTTCTGTTTACGTTTCAGATTTTTAAGAGCATTCCTACGCGGTAAGCTTGCCTCTATTTTTACAGGAAGTTGACTACCTGTCGCTACTGTATCAAAAATCTCTTGTGCCGCAAGCTGCTGTTTTACATTCAGCAATGACTTGCCTTTCTTATTCTTGACCTCATTGGATGGCAAGACGGAATCGTTACTCGCCTTCTGTTTCGATTTGGAAGGCGCTAAGGGTTTCTTTTCCCTGGATGCCATCTCACTTCCACCCACATTGGGCTCCTGTAACGTCATTTACATTGTACTTTCTCAACAATTATCTAAACTCATCGTTGACAAATTATTTGGCAAATTATTACAACAATAGTAAACTGTTTATAAAATTACTACATGTAGAAAACAATCTCGAATGACTCAATGGAAAAATCGTTGAAAGAGAGAAAGAGAGAGAAAGAGAAAAAAACTTGAAGCAAAACACTTAGTAAAAGACAAAACGATGATTACGAAAAGAAACTATATGAATATATGATATTTGTAAATATCCATGAAAAGATGGACTAGCGTAAAAGTAAAATGGCGAGTCAAAATCCACGTTTTGCAACGGCAAGGAGCCGTAGCGTGCGCGCGGGCGCGCGATACCATTTCGCGGTGTGAAACGCCGCACAATTTAGCGAGGCATAATCGAGGGAGAGTGCGAGAGAGACATCGACGGAAGGGCAACAGCGAACAGGGAGCTAGAAAAGTGGCTGCATGACGCGACGCAGCGTCGAGTCGGAATAGACGGAAAATAGGAGAGAGGATAGCGGGGTTGCTAGATGCGGCCCTGGCGACCAGAAAAATTACGTGACAAACTTTGCGTTAACACACACGAATGCACGGAGCGCCTCGCTCTGTACGCTCAACGCTCAGCGCTCAGCGCTCCGATAGCTCGGCTGACTCGCTCTCGCTTCTCTCGCACGGCTGAAATATTTCGCGCGATATCTCGGCCTACGTTAATCCGTTCGCGACAATTTCGCGCTCGCGAGAAAGCGCGCGTCACATGCTAACTATCAAGCCGAGAAATCCGCTCGAGACTCTTCGGGAAGGTCGTGAAATCGTCGCGCGAAATGGTGATGAAAAAAATCGCCACGAATAAACAAAAGGTCGAAGCTCGGCTCGAACTTTCGGGATGGTATCTCGTCGCGACGGGCCCGAAACGGCGATCGATCGCAGGCCCTCTTGCGATCCCGACGACGGTACTCACCTTGGGGACTGAAAATCCTGCCGTAGGTCCGTGATGATCGCGAATAAACGCGAACAACAATCCCCGTGAAAAGAACAGTCCCGTTGCAGGGTGTCTATACGCCGTCCCACAATTTTCCAGCTACCGCCACCTGACGGCCATAGAGTGCGACTTGTCCCAGGAGCATAGTCCGTTCGCGATAACAAGGCGTTACTTGCTCCGCTTGGTTGCGATCGCACCCTGCCACGGATCTCGTCACTTTTCACTAGGTTAAAGATTTCACCTGGTTTCGCCACCCCCGGACCGATCGTGATGGTAGACACCGATGCGATCGCGCCACCGACTCTCGACAACGATGATACAAGTTGAAAGAGAGCACCGTCGGACGACGTCGGTCGTCGCGACGCCGGCTACCGGGAGAGTAGCGACGATGGCCACTAGTTACGTTCACACCTCACTTCACTTCGCTGATCGCTTCACTTCACTTTATCCTGCCGCGTCGCGTCACCACCTCGCGTCACCCCGCCTCCAACTCCACCACTCGGGTCGGGAAACGAAACGCTACGGTACATGCGCGCTAACTGACCCCGCGTTACAGGTTACAGTACTTTACAGAGCGTGGATCTTGTACACCGTAAGCACACACCGTAGACCGTAGCTCGTAGCGTGGCGAGCGCTGGCTGGCGCTGGCTAGCGCGCACGTTCACGTTCACCTACCTCTCGTCATCCGGTCGCTGTCGACCCGTCGACGTCGTCGACGGCAGTAACGGGCCGCGCGAGTCTGATACTCCGACGAAAAAAAAATTAATATCACGATAGCGCCGCGAGTTGGCACGCGGTTGCCCGCGATACGAGACTCGCCGCGGTCCAGACCCTCCAGCAGGCCAGACTCGGCCCAACTCGGCTGCAGTGACGAACACTGACGAATAGTGACGAGTTAAGGCGAGAGAGAGAGAGAGAGAAGTACAGGGAGGACGCGTTTGCGTCCGCGCCCGTCTCGTTCGTACGATGCTCATCTCAATGGCCGCCGACGGCGCCGACCCTTATTTACTACAGTTTTCAAAATGGCGACTCTTCGGATTCTCGCATGTGGTAACCTCGTCGCGGTCTCGAATTCTGTACAGTTGTTGAATCGCGTCACGACCACGCGAGTCTCTCAAGTATGTGTCGGGTTTCTCCAGACGATTTCACGCAATTCTTTACGTCCTTTTTTCGTTATCTTGGGATAATTGGAACAATTTCGTTCAAGAATCTTTTGCGTGGTTGTCAATTTTGTTTGTAGTTTCCGACTCAATTCTCCCAAGATTTCTTGTATGTTACAGTTATACGAGTTGTTTAATTGTATCGGTGAATCTTAAATGAAATGATACATATTATTGTTATTTACTTTTACAAATGTGTATGAAAATTGTAATTTTTATAAGTCTAGGATGAAAATGCAAACTTTTTGATATCTTTCTTATCTAATAATGCAAAATCAATTAAATTGATGACAAAGTTGATTGATATTATAAGAAATGTAAAGTTCCTCACAAATCATTTGCATTTATTTCTAGATTCAACAGAGATGGAGTAGTTACAAATCATCTTCAAAATATAAGACACCTGAAGATTACACAGATTACGATATTACCAAAGATGAAAACGAATGGAAATATATAGAGCGTTTACTTCCATACAAAATTATACCGAAACCACCAACTACTGGAAATAAATTCCCATCTGGCTATAAACCAGCATCTGGTATGACAATTATGAAATATATTTTATTTACATGTTTCATTTTTTGCATCAAAAATACATGAACTGAAATTTCATTTCGGAATAATATATTTTTTAACAGCTTCGCCTAAGGATAACCCCTACTTCATAGAACGTACGAAAAATTATATGCAGCCTGTGTATTTGTATAGAAATCCCAGAGGAACTAAAAGAGTTACAGAAATTACTAGAATTCAAGGAAATATATGGGCTTTGGAACGAGACATGAAGGAATATCTACAAGAATGCGTGGGACATAAAATTGCTAGCCAGATAAACGAATTTGCAGGTTTAATTAAAATTAAAGGTGACTATGTTAATCGTGTTAAAACATGGATGAATACAAAAGGTTTTTAAAAATAACTGGTTCTCATAATAAATTATACTTTGTAAATCTACAATAAATACTGAATCTTTGTTACAAAATATGTTATTGTATATTTAATATTGTTTCGTAAAATTATTCTAATGCCTTGTAATTGTTACTCAATTATAGAATCGTATCTCATGTTCCTCATTTGTCAACATGCAAATATTTTTACTTATTGGTGAAAATAGGAAACATAATTTTAGGACTTTAACAATATCCAATTTATTTCTGTGAAAATACATGTGTTTGTATCACAATATCAAAGAAATTATCCGTACATCTTTTTAAAATGCATTAAGTATGTGTTAAGTACATATATGTTGCATATATAACAATTTTTAATTAACTCTCAATATAAATATACAAATATCAAAATCAAAATACAATATCTTTCATATGAATTCCAAATTAAATCATTTCAACAAATATATATATATA